GGATGAGGACAGCAGGACATGGATGAGGACAGCAGGACATGGATGAGAACAGCAGGACATGGATGAGGACAGCAGGACATGGATGAGAACAGCAGGACATGGATGAGGACAGCAGGACATGGATGAGGACAACAGGACATGGATGAGAACAGCAGGACATGTATGAAGACAGCAGGACATGGATGAGGACAGCAGGACATGGATGAGGACAGCAGGACATGGATGAGGACAGCAGGACATGGATGAGGACAGCAGGACATGGATGAGGACAGCAGGACAGTGGTGAGATGTGCTGTTGGAGTGACAGATAGCTTCAAGGTGGAGGTGGGAGTGCATCAAGGATCAGCTCTGAGCCCCTTCTTGTTTGCTCTGGTGATGGACCGACTAACAGATGAGGTCAGGCAGGAATCTCCGTGGACTATGATGTTTGCAGATGACATTGTGATCTGTGGTGAGAACAGGGAACAGGTGGAAGAGAACTTGGAGAGGTGGAGGTATGCACTTGAAAGAAGAGGAATGAAAGTCAGCCGTAGTAAGACAGAGTCCATGTGTGAATGAGAGGGAGGAGGTGGAACAGTGAGGCTACAAGGAGCAGAGGTCACAAAGGAGCAGGACTAAACTCAGTTCCAGTACTGACTGGATCCTAATTTGATCTGCTCAAAAGAAATAATGCAGATGCTTTCAAAATTGTCAGCAACATCTAAAAACTAAAAACTTAAACAATTAGCAAGTGGTATTAATAATAAAAAAAAAAAAAAAACAACAACATAAAATAATAACTCTTGCCAGTAATACTAAGCCTAACATTTTTATTTGGAAGTATTTAGGCTAAAGCTCCTAAAACAAAAACACTGTATTTCTGAGAGCTTATAGTAAAAATGTGTCTGAAAGATAAGAAACACAGAAGGCTTTACAGTATCAAATCAATTGACAGGTGCCTTAAATAAGACAACATCTCAGGTTAAACCCCTGTGTTCACAAATCCGCTTAGATCCTCCTCTCAGGTAAAGCATTTATTAGACGGCTGCTTATTAGCCACATAGCGAGGCATTAGGAAAGCTGGGCATTGCTGCACCCAGTCCGTGTTAAATGGCCTCCAGTGGATGGAGCTGGGGTGGATTACAGTGAGATGAATTAGTTGGTGAAGAGACGGTGAGTTGGCAGGACTGAGGTAGAGAGGAAAAAACGTATTGGAGGAGAGAGATAAAAAACAAAACTGTTTGATATGACTAATCAATTTTCTATAGATGTTGGCGGAACGTTTTGTTTAAAGCATGAAACATAAAATAATAACGGCCGATGGTTCTAAATGTAGAGGGTGTTCAACAGCTTGGAGATATCTGGTATAAGTAAGATAGAATGTATCTAACCAAATTAAAGCAAGAAGAGAGGAGAGGGGTGTGGCTTGGCATGTGTGTGGAAGGAGGTGGTTAAAGGGTGGCTGGACACACACACACACATGAAAACACACACACACACACATTAACTGATCCGCCACAAGATAACCAACATAACTAGACACAAGGTGTGGTAAGCTTCCAAGCATATATGGTTGTGCATCTATAAATGGTGGTGGTGGTGGGGGGGGGGGGTCCTTCCACTGGGATCCTTAGTGCTGTCAGGGGGGGTTCGTAAATATGCAAAGAACCAGTAAATTAAATCAAACTGCCAAACTGTCAATTTCGGGCTAGCGTGACTAGTGCATGAAAATGGCATCACTGGAAGGTATGAAGGCTCCGGCGGCCCCCTTATCCCAGGGCTTTTCTGGCATCAGTTCAACTTTGTGTACAGAGGTGGCTAATTCTGCATGTAAATTTCAGTCAATAAGCTCCAAGCAAGCCGTCCCAGGATATTTCAAAGGATCTGACAGAAGATTCTCCCTCCTCTCTCCTTCTCTTTCTATCATTCTTGCACACATTCTTCTTCTGGCTCCTGAATACCAACTAGACAGACAATGAAATTCAATCACCCATTTGCTTACGCTTTTGCATATGCACGTTGTCCCCTTGATGCTCCGTACCCCCACGACTGAGCCAGCCCTTCCTCTCACTTCTTAGCTCCTAAAAATAATGAGGGGTTTGGAAGTGTCTGTGCGTGTGCATCATTACCTATCCACGCTCATGTCCTCCCACTCGTCCTTAGTGGGACTGGGGCTGCGGCCTTGGCAGCTGATGGCTTGATTGGAGCTGACTGTTGGGTGGCGGTGCTGGTGTAGAAGACCTCTGTGCCTCGCCGCCTTCAGCTTGACCTTGCTGCTAACGCTGTTAGCGATCCCAGAAGCCTGCGCTGGTCCTGCTGCACGATTCCTGTAGAAGTCTCCGGCTGCCCTGACAATCCCCAGTTCTCGTCTCAGCTTGAGCAGCTGATGATGAAGCTTGGTAATCTCTTTCTGAGACGTGGCTAGTCGGACTTTCAGAGCCATGATCTCACCGTAGTGTTGTTCCTCTTGGGCCAGGGCTTGAGCACGGGCCAGTTCTTCTCGGACAGCCTCCTGCGTCCGCAGATGATTCATGGAAGCTTGGAGTGTGCGGCAGTTTTGGGCCAAGTCTTTATTGGCTTGAAGTAAAAGTTTTTTCTCTTCCGTCAGCCCGTCTATCTGCTCCTCCAGCGACTGCATCCTCCGCTCCAACTGCTCGGTCTGCAAGTATCAAACATGGAGCGTTAGTAACTAATTATTTCATTATATTTTCTTTACAGTGAAGTGATAATACGTTTGAATTAAACCTATCTAGGCACAGTAGTTCTGCTAGAACTGATGAGGTAGGCCGCTTTTTGATTTGACCTGCAGCGCGAGGGATTTCCTCCTCCCTCGGGGCTACGGACATTTGACTGGCACCTTTTTTACCCCGAGCTTCTTTAACTAGACAGCAACCAGGAGCACTTAGTCTTTTTGTTAGATCTTCAATGGAAACTGTTTAAGAAAACAGGGGCTGCCTGCTGGGTTTGTGCCTCCAGGCAATTCTCTCCTTTTATTTGGTTCTCACACTGCCTGCTGGCGTGGCCTGATACCTTTCAAACTAAATTAGACGACAGTTCCCATTCCTGATGATTTGCTGTCATGAAAGAAGAAATAAAGCAACGTTTGAATACGTGCGAGCAGAATTTTTAAAAGCATATATAAAACGAGAAACATTTCATTTCCTGCAAAAATGTAGTGTGAATGCTTACTGCTGACAAACTTGCTGAAAAACAGCTGAAATTAGCTAAAAACATACTGAAATGTAGCTGAAATGGAAGAAAAATCATGTTAACAGAAGAAACATTTGCTGAATAAGGTTTAAATAAACTAAAACGAGAACAGAAATTCAAAAAATAGCTAAAACAGATGAAATTAGCAAAAAATAGCTGAAAGGGCAGAAAGAAGCTTAACCTACCAGAAGGAAGTGGAAGGAGCTGAAATAAGCTAAAAATGTGGAATTAGCTGAAAAAGCTAAATTTAGCACAAAACAGCTAAAATGTTACTGAAATAGCAGGAAAAGCTGAAACTTGCAGAAAAAAGCTAAAAGGAGCATAACAGGCTGGAATTATCAGAAAGAAGTTATTTAGGCTGAAAATAGCAGGAATACCAAGAAAAACTGGAATTTATCTAAAAACAGCTGAAATTAGCTAAAAATAGTTGAAAAGGTAGAAAAAGCTTAAATTAGCAGCAGAAAGCAGAAAGAACACGTTTGTACAATAATGTCTGAAAGAAGCATAAAAGCATAAAAAATGGAAATGATCAGGATCTGAATCAGAATAAACTTTATTATCATTGTACCGAGATACAGTGAGATTATGTTCGTCTGAAAGATGGATGGAGTGCACGTTGCTGCTGCTACAAGAGCACGGCCCCTTATCCTTTATCAGACCATGTTTTAGATAGAAAAGGGTGGTAGAACCAAAAAAGATCTCTTCACATCGTGTCCTATCAGGACACGATTTAAGACATAAAAACTCTACCAGCAACATTTATAGACACATTACATGATTGGACGTCAAAATGGTGAGATTTGTCCATGAAGCACTTCCAGATAGGCCATAGTCCTGTTGTGAGCTGGCACAGTTCTGATAAGCCTTCACAGAAGTTCTCAAGGGGTGTGTGTGTGTGTGTGGGTGGGGGGGGGGGGGGGGTGCGATAGACAAAGTTTTTCCTTAGTTTACACATAGCCCAGAAGAAATTTGATAGTCAGCCTGTTTTCGAGGCCAAACGGGGGAATCAGATACAACTAAGCCACAGTTGTTGATTTTTTCAGGCAGACTGCGTTTTTCTTGTCCGCCTTGAGTTGAGTCCAGCTGGTACTTTCGATCCAAAATGGACAGATTTGTGGGCATTCCACTGGTCCGTGCTTATGAGCCTCCTCCAAGGTCGTCTCCAACATGCTGGCAAGTCCCAGAAGCCGCAGGTGGCCTGCGATTCTCACAGATCGCTTCCTTCTTACGGTTTAGCTCGTAAATCAGCTGATTTTGAGTGCTCGACGCATCAGCCAAACCTTCACACAGACTCTGCAGTTTTGCCATGAAACTGCTGCCGTTGTCTTCCTTAATAGCCGATAACAGGAATCCATTGATGCCAGAAAGCAGAAGCCCTACTATCATGAATCCAATTATATAAACATATTTGGCATCCTCCCGAGACAAAATGAAAAGACACATCAGCTCCCAAACTCCCCACGGATCCATGACGGATCCATGACGGATCCATGACGGATTCATGACGTATCCTGCCGCGTGAGTCTCAATGGGGCATGAGGGCTCTCCAGGACAATGTTGCTTTGCTGAAAAGATTTTGTCAATTGCGTTGAAAGTCCAGCTGACCAGATCCATGACAGTAGTTTTCGTTTCGGAATATGTGTAATAGGAGCTCTGATACACAGACAGAAAGCAAAAAAAGCAGGAGGAGAACAAGAGAGGGAGAAAAGGCATCCGCCTTGCACGAGAGCGAGTGCAGAAAGGGCTGAAAAAAGTGCTGAAAAAGCTCAAATTAGCATAAAACCGCTAAATAGTAGCTAAATAACAGAAAAAGCTGAAACTTGCAGAAATAAGCTGAAAGGGGCAGAACAAGCTGAAATTAGCAGAAAGAAGTTAGAAGAAGAACAAAACTATTGTAGTTAGCAGGAAAAATCTGGGAGCAGCACAAAACAGCTGAAAAGTAGCTGAAATTAGCTGAAAAAAGTTTAAATTTGAAGACAGGAAGCTGAAAGAAGCTGAAGCAGAACAAAATGTGAAAGGAGCAGTAAAAGGTTGTAAACACATGTAAAGATGTGAAAGATGTAAAATGAGCTCAGTTCATTTTCTAAGAGAGGAAAATGTCAAAAAAGGCTAAATATTTCAAAAAGCTAAAGTTGCACCAATACCAAAAGCCACAGCAGGATCATCCTGAAAGAGCCGAACGTTTTGATTCATGATTTGTTGGAATAGTTTGAAAACTGTGGGATGAGAAAGATGCTGAAAAACGTACAGAAGAAAAATGGATCACCGTAGACAGAGTGCTTCATAAACATTCACACAGTAAAAGCACCTCTAACGTAGGATTAAATACCATTTTCAAAGAAACGCTTGTCACTATTTATAGATTTTCTTCTGTGAAAATAAAAAGTACTTTCTGGATGACACATGATTTTAAAATGACAACAAAGTAAGAAAAATTTAAATTGCACCTGAAAAAACAAAAGCTAATTTTGTGAGCGAGATCTTGCTGGTAGTTTATTTTATTGATAATGACACGGAGCACTTAGTGATGGCGCAGTGCCCTACCTTTTTAAATGGCTGCTCCATTTGGCCTGCAGATACACAAGCCTTAATCGGAGCGCTGCTTTTGACCCGCTGCTCCTCTGTCATTTGCTGAAGCAATTCTGCAGAAAGGAACAAAGCCTGTTATTGTGACACACTGTGTCAAATTCAAGTGAGTCAATCAATGGAATAATAATAAAAAGGATACATTAAATCAATTAACATTAGTAAGGTCTCATTTCTTTTACAAGCTCTGCCTTCCTTTGTCAATCACAGCACAGGATTTTCACAGCTAAAAGTCTCTCCTGTTTTGAAAATTTTACCAAACGCAACCTTTTTATTTTAGATTAACAGAAAAGTGTTTTATCCAATCGTCCGCAAGGAAACATAAAAACAGTGTTCAAAAGCAAAAGCTAGTGCTTCCTATGTGCAACCTGTCTCTAGGGATCTTAGACAAACCAAGAACAGTTCTTGAATCCCAGAAGAACCCGCAGCCCCGGGCTGCAGAGCTTTGTAGTCCACAGAGTTTACTCCAAGGACATTTAATCTCCACAGAAAAACAACAACAACAACACGTTGCTTTATTTTGGGAACTTCAATGATGGAACTGGAAAACGTAATTTAGGTTTTATAACAGAATGCAGCAAAAAGTCCAAGTGTTCAGGAATTGTATACAGTTCTACAAGCTTGTGTGTCACTATCTGCAAAGCAATACTTATTTTTATTTTTTTATTAAAACTTTATTTATACCGGTGGTCTCATCGAGTCACGAGGACTCATTGTCATGAGGGACCTGTTTGGGAGCAGGTGGTGGGGGTTAAGGGCCTTGCTCAAGGAGTGGGGCGAATGAGGGTGGGTGTTGCACCTTTTGCACCCACATTTTGATGTTGTCGATCAGCGGAGTCAAACCGGCGAGCTTCCGATCACAGGCCCACCTTCTCTAACCTCTGCACCACCACTCCCAATATAAAACCTTTTGGTTTCCGTTCTCTTGTTAAACTTCCATGACAAGACGACCAGAACAATTTGTAGAGTGAAGTAAAAACATCAAATATTTAGGAGCTTGACTCTCCAGGTCTGAGGACCTGGTTGAGGATAAGCTACAAAAAGGAAGGAGACGGTTCGGGTGTAAAACAGCTGCTGCTCTCTTGCGCTGCCCAGGAAAGTTTGTTACACTGAATTAGCCGGCCCCTTTGTTCTTCCTTAGTGTCACATTAATTCACCAGGAGCAGCAACAGGACAGGAGGGCTGCTGGTGCACGAACCAGGCTGAGACAATTATCCAGCTACAGCGTGAGTGGCGTGGGAGCTGGTACCTCAGCACTACCTTGATAAGACGTGGTGCCTCCCCAGTCACTGCCACTGAAGGAGGGTCTGGCACTGCCGACTGCATTAATGTTCTTCCCGTGTCTCCTTACAGGCTACAGCTCAGAAGCTCCTTTCATCTGCCCCCTTCGGTTAGTGGTCTCGCCTTCGACTCCAGCTCTGTTCCCTTTTGACTGGGTCACATGAGTTCCTTACACCGTGGTCTCTCACACTTTCATTTCACACACACTCCTCATTTTCAGGTCTTGGGCTAAATGTGCTGCATCATTTAACGTCCACAATGTGTAACACGGCATTCGTCCATGGACAACATTTAATATTGTCTTAGTGAAATTATCTGGTAGAACTAGTTTGACAAGTAAATCTAAAAAAATCAGCTAAGCAGCTCTTTTCAGACTAAATTACAATAAATAAAAATGGCCCATGATCAGGAGACGATCAACGACGCAGGTGTTTGTGTTGCACAGTTTGAGGAAAGAAAGAAGCATTTCTATCAAGACCACCAACAGGAACAGACCCAGTATTTTAATTAGTTATCTTTAAATCACAGGCTCGGATCGCTAGCAGACACCGGCTGTGAAGAAAATGAAAGGAATCTAGAAGAGATCTGTTATTGAACTAATTAATTAGGGTCACTGCTGAAGTGTTCAGTATTAATGTCACAGGTTGGATTAAAAGAGATGCACTTTGAACACTGACGATGATGCATGCAGACAAGATGGACACCATTTGATCTCCGAGTCAATTTGCCAGAAGTTGATCAAGTCTTAATTGAGTTGCTCTGGTAATTTCACTGGGAGTTCTGTTATTAATTCTCCTCGTTAACGCACATTTCCCAGAGGTGACAACCTGTTTTCCACTGTCAGAGTTGAAGCCTTGGCATTTTCTTTTACCTTCTGTGAGCATAAATTATTGGTTAGCATCGTGAAAAAATACTAAAATAAACAAAACTGTGAAGAATTGCTGCAAGTTCTTACTTCCTGAAAAAACATAGAAAATGTACTGTAGAAAAAATACCATCAAATGATTATACATATAAAAAAAGTTAAATCAAGTCATGTGCACAGATTCTTCTTGGAAGAAATGTTTCGTCTCTCATTCTGAGGACTTCATCAGTCTGAGGCCTGCCACCAAGGTCTGTCTTATAAATAGCACCTTGTTGACGTGGTTCCAGCCCGCCTGCTGCGGAGCTCCCAGAAACTGACTTCACACATGAAGGAAGGACCATCAGTCCACAACAATGATCTTCAGTGCATAAGATGCTTTAGGTCTGATGGCCAACTTGCTACTCACCAAACCAGCCTGAGGACAACCTGGACAAAATGGTAAAAAAAATAAAAATAAACAAAAAATAATAATAATACTATATATAATTTATTTATTTATTTTTAAGTGTGTCGTTCTGATGGTTATATGTTGAACCCAAGTGCAGGCAGACCACAGAGACTCAGAGATTATAATGAGACAATTAATTAAAGAAAACAAAAGCCCGACAGGGCAGCAAACTTACATGAACACGGAGGAAAGATGGAACATGGAGGGAGACAGGGGAAAGTCCAGACAACGAGGAGCGCAGGGACGCAGACTTCAACAGGGACGTTAAGGACAGACAAACGACAACACCTGGGCAGGACAACAGGTGGAGAAGGCAGGAGCTGATTACACGAGGAAGAAACCCTGAGGAGCAGGAACGAACTCAGGAGGGAGACGCACAAGAAGACACAGATCCTCACTAAACGTATGTAAGCTCAATTATCCAGGTCAATAAAGCCCATCAGTAAGGTGCTATTGACCTAACTCACCTCATTTCTTAAATTAATTGTTAAAATTGAAGTTTTCATTTGATACTATTTCTATCTTAAAATGTGGTTCTTGACCTGCCATTGTGTATCTATTCCTACCAAACCCAGCCGGTCGAAGCAGATGGTCCTCTTGTCCTGATCCTGGTTCTGCTAAAGGTTTCTTCCTCATGAGGGCGTTTTTCTTTCCACTGTCGCCTTCATGCTTGTTCAAGATGAGAGTTCAGTGATGGAGTTAAACTCAAAGCTGCTCCTCAGATAAATAATGTTCAATTATTATTTTATACATGAATGTTTCTGTTAATTATTATTTTATACATGAATGTTTCTGTTCAGTCCCTGAGACGATTCTGTTGTGACTTGGAGCTTTAGAAATGAACTGAACTGAATTTATACGACAGATTTTGTTGTCAGGCCTCGACAAACCAAATCTTTCGGATGAAAGACGAAACGTTTTTTCCAAGAAGAATCTATCCAGATGACCTGACGGAACTTTTTTTGTGATTTATTTACCTGGATGACCGAACTTACACGCTGTTTTAATCATCAGATGATGTTTTTTGTTTGTTTGGTTGACTTCTACCTCCAACCATGACATTAAAAGAGGCTTTACCTCGGTGATTGTAAGTAAGACACGTGTGGAGCTCCTTTACTGAGGCCCGGTCCATCGCAGCCTGCACTCGCAGCACGTCCACTTCTTCCTCCAGGCCGGCTCTGCAGACACACACGATGTTTAAACCTTCTGCACACAATCAACCAAACTTAAACTCACTATTAGAGGCCAAAAAAGGTGGAATTTTTAATAATTTAAGCTTTAAAATGAATAAATAAATAAAATAAGGTTATTGTTTAGGAATGGTAAAATACGACACTTTAAGTTTTGTATGACCTTTCAAGCAGAGGTGCATTTTAAAACTGGTAAATAGGACAAGAGCTAAACAAAAAACACAAAAGGAAACAAAACAAAGTTAAAATATTTAATATATTTACTAGTGATAAACTATTTCACCCTAATCGTTTACATTTTCTGTTTGTTAAAGTGGATTTTTTGTTCATTTAAAAAGAAGATTGAGAAAAAGATCAACTAGAACCTAAAACATATGACTTGACTTTTCTCTATTTAATATTGTTTTAACCAGCCTTATAAAACACATTTAGCTGATGGCACTAATGTTAAAATGACATTTTCATGATCGATAATTTATTATAGCACTAACAGTGTATATATCTTTTATCTTTCACATCCCACACAAATGCTACTATTTATTCAGCTATGAAATTTATTTTGGTAGAAACTTATAATTTTTTAGCTTTATTCTTTTTGTGCTGGATTACCTACCTAAAAAATGCTAAAGGAATGAAATAGTTAAAATACTTTTTTTACCTTATCTAGAAATCAAAGTGACGGCAACATGAAACGTTGAGGTAGGAAAGCACCGTGTGTGTTTTAACAGACAAACAGGCTGTAAAGTGTACCCAATTACCTTTCTGCAATTAGCTTGATTCCTGCTAAAGGCTAATTATGTGGAGCCATGCTCGTCTTTGCACTTTCAAGCTATTAATAGGAGCCGACTCTCGTCTGCTGAGGTTATCCAAAGGCCCACAGAGACAACAACACCTGAAACACGCACCTAATTTCCCTCCCCACTGCTCCACGGAGTCAAAGACAACACAACAATCAAACTCCAACTACTGTAGTGGCATTCTTCCCAAATTTAACCTTGTTGCAAAAAGCAGCTCTTTTTAAAAAAAATATATTTTAAGGCACGTTTTATCTTAAAGCACTGGGCTATAAAACTGCATAAAATTTGATAAGCACAATGCTATTTAACTTACACTAATCCTTTGACTCAACCTATTTGATTTTTTTGTGCAAATGCCTAGAACCTTTCATGGGAAAATGTATTACCACAGCACAAGAAAAGGATGTAATAACCATTGGAGTCCACACAGTCCAGAGGCCTTCCTAACTCCTAGATATGGCTTAAAAAAAGTGCACAAATGCTCTGGACCAAAGGGCAACAAAGCAGATGGATGTCACTATTGCATAGATTTTCCTCCATAAGTCGATGAGGGCACCAGCATGTGTCCAAGCCAGTTATGAGACCAGTCAGCTAAAATAAACAGTGGCAGAGAGAGCTTGTTCTCATGTTTCTCTTTTATGTCTTTTTAGTTGCCGAGAGTGTTAATACCAACGTTCATGTACAAAACAGTCACTTTTGTTGAAAGATAAGAAATATATCAAACAGAAAAGAAACTGCATTTCAAATGAAGCCCATTAAGAGTCCTCCAGTTTCCCATCATAACTCTAAAAAGATGGAATACCACTACACCCCCATTTACAACACAAGCTCATCAAAACAAAACCATAACGGATCGGTCAAGGCTCGGGTTACCAAGGACCGCCACCGGTGCTGACAAACATGGTGACGGCAGAAATTGTGCTCCTGTTAGTGGAAGACCACGAGGAGGGAAACATGTCAGGAGACAGAGGGAGAAGAGGAAAGTGAAGAATGTAGGACTGAGGGTTGCAGCTCTAAATGTAGGGACAATGACAAGCAAAGGTAGAGAGCTGGCTGACATGATGCTGAGAAGGAAGGTAAATGTTTCATGTGTCCAAGAGACCAAGTGGAAGGGCAGCAAGGCTTGCTGCATTGGAGCAGAGTTCAAACTGTTTCACCATGGTGTGGATAGAAAGAAACTTGGAGTAGGGGGGGTCCTGAAGGAGGAGTTGGTAAAGAATGTAGTAGAGGTGAAACGAGTGTCAGAGAGGGTGATGTGTCTGAAGGTAGAAGTAGAAGGTCTGATGCTAAATGTTGTCAGTGGTTATGCTCCACAGGTTGGATGTGATGAGGAGGAGAAAGATATATTTTGTAAAGATCTGGATGAAGTGATAGAGAGTATTCCCAGGGAGGAGAGAGTGGTGATGGGAGCAGACCTGAATGGACATGTTGGTGAAGGAAACAGAGGATGAGGAAGTGACGGGTAGGTTTGGTGTCAAGGAAAGAAACCAGGAAGGACAGATGGTGGTGGATTTTACCAAGAGAGTGGAAATGGCTGTCGTCAACACCTGTTTCCAAAAGAGGGAGGAGCATAGAGTGACCTATAAGAGTGGAGGAAGGAGTACGCAGGTCGACTACATTCTGTGTAGAAGAGGAAACCTGAGGGAGATTGGAGACTGTAAGGTTGTGGCAGGGGAGAGCGTGGCCAGACAGCATCGGATGGTTGTGTGTAGAATGACTGTTGTTGTGAAGAAGAGTCAAATCAGAGAAGAAGACCAAATGGTGGAAGATGAAGAAGGAAGAATGTTGTGATAAATTCAGAGAGGAGCTGTTAAAGGCTCTGGGTGGTAAGAAAGAGCTTCCAGATGACTGGACTACTACAGCAACAGTAATTAGAGAGACAGGTAGGAAGGTACTTGGTGTGTCACCTGGACAGAGAATGGATGTTCAGGAAACCTGGTGGTGGAATCATCATGTTGTAACTGACTCTTCTTGAGACAAAGGATGATTAACTTGCTGCTCTACTTAAGGTCCAGTATAAGTTTGTACACAGAAAAATAAAAAGGTTGTTCATCAGAAACAGCATGCAACAGTCTGGTCATATATTTGGTAATGATGTGCTCAACAACATGCCTTTGTGTCTTGCTGCTCTTTTGCCCATTTTAATAAACATTTTCGCTGTAACGCAGCGCTTCAACCCTGAGCCATCCACTCTACACGATTCGCTCTCACCCCACCTGTGCAGAACACAGCTTATAGCACAAACTGCTCACGGTCAGTCACACGTGTGCACATCTGCTGCAGCCGCTGGGTTTCACAAACCATTCTCCCTGGTTTTACTCGGAACAGAAAAGCTCATAAATAAGGAATACAGAAAGAAATTGAAAATGCCACCAATGTTCTCATCACTAGGGTAAGAATTGTTTTAGGGGTATGTGGAGGGAGTTACACAAGGTTTAACTCAGGATGCAAGTCTACTCGAGATGGGTAGAAGTAGGGCAGCCGACTTGGGACCAGAAGGTCGCAGTTCGACTCCCCGCCATGTCCACATGTCGTGGTGTCCTTGAGCAAGACACCTAATCCTTAATTGCTCCCTGCGCGCTTACATAGCTGCCCACTGTTCCACCTGGGTGTATCTCAGGTGCGATGGTTAAATGCAGAGAACTAATTTTATCAATAATGATGACAACACATAGCACTTACTATCATTGATAGTATATTATTATTGTTTAACGTACGTCTTAGATCCTTGTATACTTTCTTTTTTAAATATATACTATATTTTTGGGTGTAACTGGGACCCTGTGTACATAATTTCATTCCGCCTCATGTACCCCATATGATGCGAAAGACAATAAAGGACCTTGATCTTGACTCGGACCGATATGGGCGGGTAAGTCACTGCTGTTTGCACAAATGGAACTTGTGAACATCCTCCATGATGTATTTTAGCAGAGGGCAGTGTGGCAGCGGGAGCAAACAGCTGGTCTTAAGAAACTACATTTTTCCTGTTATACTTCAAAAACAAAAAACCTGTACAAAAATATTTGTTTTATGACTACTTGGAAAGATCTCAGAAGGTTCTTTTAGTTTTAAAGCAGCATTAAGGGGTCCAAACATGAAATAAAATGAGGTTCAAATGTTTACTGTATATGACAAATGAAACAGATGTACTTACCAAACTATATACAATTTTATACATATGTATATATAAAATAATGTGAATATAAGTAAATAAGCACATTTTTATTTTATGCTATCACTAAATCTAAGCTCCTTATTTGTCTTTTAACACAACTTGATGCTGAAGTTTAGATCATAATTACACGCTAAGAGTAAAGTTATGTTACTTTTTATTTAATGGGGTAAATGATCTCCCAAATAAATAATGAGGGGAAAACCTTATTTGCCCAATTTAGAAACGCACATAAATCATTCTGTTTGTGTGTGTGTGTGTCCCTCCTCCTGCTAAGCCCTGGTCCAAAGGGCAAAAGACTCTCATTACTTCTAATACTTTTTAGCGAGATGAAAAGAGGAGAAAAAAATGGTGGAATATGAGTAACATTAGGGCAAACTTTATTAAACATAATTACAGTCAACGTCGCTTATTGGGGAGGTTCACATCCATAATGGTCACTCTCTGCGGCGGAGCAGTGTAAATTATCTCAAAGGCTTTTTTCCACAGTAATCGCTTTTTAATTTATGCTTTGATGTCATGTGAGTATACTGTCTTAAATCTAAGGGCCTGTGTTTATTCTGTTTATAGAATCTAAATAATCTCTGCCTCTTTTACCAACAGACTTTAACAACATTTTAACAAGAACGGACAAGGACTGCTGCAGACAGATGCATAATGAGGCACATGAAATCATCCCACAGCATCTTTTATTCCCTACTTGGCACATAGTTGCTTGCCAACAAAATACCACGACTAAAAAAAACAACAACCTTGGTGTCATTTTTTTTATTTTTTTTGTGGCTGTTGCCTTAAAGGTCCAGAGAAAGCTAAGAAATACTAAAAAGTTTCAAAACTGTAAAGCGTGCCTAGTTGACTTTTCCTGTCAAACTCAGTTCACAGTTTTATTGTTTAACAGAGTAGAGTAGTCCCTCATTTATCGTGGGGGATCTGTACCCTGAAGACCCGCGATAAGTGAAAAACAGCAACGTAGGAATAGTAGTACAAGTACCGGAGTAAGTAGTAGTTTCATCCTT